GTAGAAACGAAGTGAACAATGACAAATAATTCGCTGCATGATGATAATTATTGATTGACTCCGACGCCGCCTGTATTTTGTGATTGGGTCATACTTTGCTACACACGCGTACAGTTCAAACCTATCTGTTCAAATTCAAAATAGAGTTACTACTGCATAACAAAACATGAACAATTTATTTTTTATTGATTTTTTTATTATGGATGAAAGAATATTTCGTTGTATGGCCATCCATTCATGATTCTGTCTCGAATAAATTGCTGAATAGCATTAGTTCTTATCTGTAATTTTGAGCAGTAATTGGAATCAAGTGAATTGGTGAATCTTCATAAGTTCTTTGATTACTCACTTCGTTTGGTACATTTTTCGGCTCTTGTTTGGGGATTATCTGTTGAAAAGTTGTAGCCATTGTATCAATCACTTCATATTGTTTTTAAGTAAGCAACGATTTTATAAAACACTCACCTGGTTCTCGTTTTGTTTCTAAATCATTAGATAGCAATGTTTCTTTTTCTATAACTTTTTGTTTTCTCTCTATCTGCGTGATTGGTTTCGTATCATCACGAGCCGTTTCACAACAAATAGAGTCACTTTCTCCAAAGCAAAATTGTTTTTCCTGAAAAAAAGTAGACATTGTGAGGTAGAAATGAGCATATTGAGAACATTGAGACACTTTCTATCTAAATCACAAGTTATGACGTTTCCAAGTGGTGTTAAAGCAGTAGACGAATTTGGTGGACATACTGAAATCAATAATATAAAAGAATGCTTTTTAAAACTTAATGTTTGCTTTTGACTCACCCCTGTAATCAGCATCTTTCAATGATTCAGCTGTGTGATTATGCTTTTCGCAGCAAATGAAATCTTCTCCTACATTCATGCAGAGCATTCCTCGCTTGAATATCGTTACATGAGAGAAAGTTCAACAACAAATACCTTCGAGCATTCATGGCTGTTTCCACTGCATTTTAGTACATCTCCTCTACTACTTAAAACGGTTATCAATGGCTCAGGGCATGTCATTTGTTTTTTTATTTTTTTCTCATTGCTTGGGCAACATAAGTAATTAATTCCTGAGAAATAGCAGAAATACTCATTGCCGCATGATAACGCGAATGAGTCACCTAACTGCCGTATACAAGATGTGTTGAGAACTGTGATTACCTGGTAAGCATTGAATGAAGTTTCCTTTTCCGTCTAGTTTTGGTTCGCCGTCATTCGGACATTTCGGATAAGCAGCTTAGAATACACAATCATTATAGTCTTTATAAATTCTCACCGTCAACTGCTAGCACATTCAATATTAGGATTAGATACACAGAGTACATTTTTGTTGAATGCTTACTAAAGAAGCGGAGAAAAATGAGGAAAATGCCCTACATCTCAATGTTATATACATGTTCATTGACCTCAATTTGACGATTGACGATAAAAGTTTTTTTTGGATACAAGGCCAATAATGTTTTTGAGAGGTAAATTATTTTTTCTTGTTTCCAATCATGAAATTCTATAAACAATTTGTTCAGTTTGAATGAGTCGATTGATTTGCCTTATTATGCAACGCCTTGATAACAATCACATTCATCCATATTTACCGCATTCTTCTCATTTAGTTTTGAATCGTTTTGAGAAGAGGTCATTTCACTTTGCTTCCAAAACATTTTGAAATCGCATGCCGAAGCATTCTCAATTCTCATACATTTGCTTATTTTTACTTTCCTCTGGCTTCTAATCAATTCCTTTTTTCATTTCTTTATATCCCTCATTTCTCATTCTCTATTTCTCTTCGTTCATAATGAATTATCATGATAACTCTCTCATTCAGTCTCTTCACCTTTATTTATGAATTCTCAATACTTCATTTTCTCCGTCCCCTCCCTTCCTCTCTCTCTTTCTCTCGAAACAACTATGTTCAAACAATCTTTTCACATTATTTTTCTCTATCTTTCTTGCTCTCTTCAATCTTTTCCTCTCATTTTTAATAATTTCTTATTTTCCCCCTCATTTCATTCCCCACTCCCTCCGCTTTATACCTTCCTCTTGAGAGCTTTTTTCATCAGCATATTATACCTCCCTCTCTCTCTCCTACTCCCCCCATTGCTTTTATTCTTCTCTCAATATTTTCTACTCCTTCCAATTCCAATAACTTCTTTAGGCGCTAATTCTTCTAAACCCTTTTCATCTTTTCTATTTTTACATGTTCATTTCATTTTTCATTTCTTGCTCTCTAACAATACATAGAAAATGAAGTTCTTTATCTTATCTATTTTGTTCGTTCCTCACCTTCTACCTGAACTCTTCTCACCTTCACTTTTCTCTTCCACTCTTCCATTTCCTTTTCTCTATCAACTTTTGTTCTGTCTGTTCATCTCTGTTTCTTAGTCTATCTGTGTTACTTTCACTTCGTCTCTATGCATCTTCATACCTATGTCTCTATAAATTTCAACAACTGCTTATACCCTTTTCTACTCTCATTCTTTCCTATCACACTACACATATTTATTTCAAAAACCTCTTTCTCATGACAATTCTTTCAGTTTTTCTCTTTTTTTTTTCATCTCAAATGCCTATTTATGCTTTTCTAGTTGTTCATGTATAGATTACACCTGTTCATGTTGTTTATCCTTTTTCCATTTATATGTTCCTAACCTATCGTACCTTCTCTCTCTCTCTCTCTTCCTCTCTCACACTCTCTTTTTCTTTATATCTATCAATCCATCTAACTATCTAACTATCAGCTTCCCGTATCATCTTTTCTATTTCCTATGGAAATTAATGAAAAAACATTGCTGTTTGCTCTAGTCAAGTATTTGAAAAAACGTTGACATAATGCGTTGAAGAGTGACCTTAATACTTATTTTTTTCATTTTCGATCAATGTTCTCGATGTAACACACATATTGTAACAACTTTTTCCATTTACATCCTTCTTTCATTCTCGAAAAATTGTAAGAAACAGCAGGACAATTGTTAGTGTGAATAGAACAGGTTGACTGATAATACATATAAAACAAAGAGACAAAACGAATTGATATGATGAATGAATACATCACATGATTTGTATCTTCACTGGATGATTCATAGAATTAAACATCCAATTATCATAATAGTAGTAGTATGTATTTCGTCAATTAATAACCTTCTTCAACATATATACGTTATTACGTTCTATTTTCGTTATATTTGTATTGTCTCTTCATTCTCGTCTGAAGGTCGATGAGTCAGCGTTTATTGATTTTTTTTGTAGCTCGCGCCTCTTTTTATTTTCAAAAAAAAAAGCTCTAAAAAAAAGTTGTTGTTTCATTTCTTGACGCATAGTTATTGTTATTGCATGCTCTTCTATCGATACTCATATGAAATTGACTTTTCTTCTTGTTTTAGTATAATGGAAAGACCACGATTACTAATGAATGTTAAACCTTTACCTAATATACTCCATGAGCCAGAACCTGTGTAAGTCAATTACTAATTGATAACAAGAATAATTATATTTCAGAGAAGTTATATCTACTGGAAAAATGCGAATTCCAGGCATTATTGAGAAAGAGTTCACTGCAGGAACCTTAAAAGATTTGGGTCCTATAGGGTGTGGAAGTTTTGGAACAGTTTCGAAAATGCTGTATCTTGATGCAGAAATAGAAATGGCGGTGAAGGTTCTAAAGCAATCTTTACTCTCATTCATAATTGTTTAATATTCAGAGAATCAGATGTCAAAATATACCTCCTAAAGATCAACAACGTCTATTATTGGAACAAAGTATAATAATGAACAGTTCTTCTCCTAATATTGTTCAATTCTATGGAGTTATCTTTCATGAGGTTATTATTAAAATATTTGAAAATATTTGAAAATAATTTGTTTAAAGGGTGATTGTTGGATTTGTATGGAACTCATGACTATATCATTAGATAGATTATATCGTTATGTATATGATGAAAAACACGAGTATTTAAGTGTAAATATAATTGGACATATAGCAATCTCGGTTAGTTCATCATCTTAGATTGAATGAATATGAAATGATTCAGATGATTGATGCTTTACAATATTTAAAAACTCATTTAAAAATAATGCATAGAGGTGATGATAGGAAATGTTATATCTAATATATTATTATTTTGGTTTTTAGATGTAAAACCATCCAATGTCTTGATTAGTGACAATGGCGAAGTAAAACTATGTGATTTTGGCATTTGCGGTGAATTGAAAGATTCTATTGTGCGAACACATGATATTGGCTGTCAACCCTATTTATCGGTATTTCATTCATTTTACATACTTATATATTCATTCATATCATGTAGCCGGAACGATTAACAAAACAAGAAGCGGGTTATGGTGTAGGAAGCGATGTATGGTCCTTGGGAATCACTATTGTATGTGTTTGAGAAATGTTTTGTTTTCAAATTTATATTCATCATTCAGCTAGAAATAACAATTGGCAAATTCCCATACCCTGAATGGACATCACCTTTTGAACAACTCGATTTCGTGAGTTATAAATTGATGTCTGAATATCAGAATTTGCTCACGTTCAGGTAGTACATGGAGATCCACCTGTTTTACCTTTCTCAGAGAATAGAAACTATTCAGTATCTCTAAGTAATTTTATTAATGCTTGGTATGACAAGCTGTTGAATGAATCTAATTCAACTGATATTTCAGTTTAACCAAAGAACTGCAGGAGCGACCAACCTATCAAGAGTTGATGACTAAAGAATTCTATATACAGTAATCCATTAATCCAAAAAACTTCCGTATTACATTCTTTTCCTACAGAAACACTGATTGTGATGGTGAAACCCGTGATCAACTAGTAGCGTATGCTCGAGAGGCTCTCGACTTCGCAAGCAATATGTGAAAAAAAAAGAAGTCGAAGGAAAAGGAACAACGATCATAATATTGATCCGAAATAAGTCGACTTATATAAGACTAGTCTATTCGATCATGTGTCATGTTGCTTATGTATACGATACAGCTCGCACAAGCTGTTTCACCTCATTTACGTTATATCTTTGTGAATAGTAAAAAGCAGAAAAGAAAGAAATTATAAAAAGCATCAAAATATAATAAATCACAATCTCGGTCCATGTTGATATGAGAATAGTAAACAATCAAAAACAAACAAACAATAACAATAGAAGTTAAAACGAATCTAAGTAAGTGTTCAGCTTTCATCACGATCTCCGTAATGATTTTCGGCCTAAAACCGTATCAACATTGTCATATCGACTCATTTCCAAGTTGATGCTATCCACATCTGAATCTGAATCAGCATCAGATTCAGATTCCATTATGTAGCTTTCTGTCCATCTAGAATCTTGAATTTCGACTGAAATACGTAGGTTGCATAGTATAGTACACATCTCGCATCGCATACACTTTTCGGGATTCATCGAAAATGTTATTCGTCTTTCTTTTCCTTTCTCAACGGATTCATCTTCAACAACGCTGCTTGAAGCACCCTGGTTACTGTATGTCCAAACATAGTTTGTCGCTGACGTATCGAGGCCATTCTAATTTGAAATTGAAACTATTTTATAGTTCAGTATGATTCATTTACCCGTGTGGAATGTTCACGCAGCTTTCCAACTCCCCTCATCGAATTATTCGTTAATTTGAGAAAATTGAGAGTTTCACGGAATGTTCCTAACTGCTTTTGAAAATACAAAGGAATCGAAGCTAAACGTCGGAACTGACTGAAATAGTATAAAATGATTAAAAGTAAATGCGATCTTCTCACTTTAAATCATAGAAATTCCGGAAAGGTAATGAATGTGTAGCAGGTATCTTCTCTTTTTCAAATTCAACTATCGAACATCAATTAGTTATAGTGGGAATGCATTAAATCATACTTGGCAGCTGATCATCCGGATGAAAGAGATTTTTGGCATTTGATATAAGATAGCTACAGATGTTTGTTTGAATTGTCAAATAATCTAACAAATTGTTCTCTTGGCTTCTGGAAAACAGATTTCATCAAACTCGTATTCTCATGGGAACAATTTGAGAATAAGCATGAAAGAATTTCGGAACAACAGAAGAATTCTATAAACATTGTCAGTCGAAATTGAAACCTGAAGAGATTCGGGGCCCAAACGATGGATAATGATTTCACAGTCATATCTGTTAGATTTTCATATTCTAATAGTTTATTAAGGTGAAGAAGAAGAGAACGAGCTGTGCTGAAACAAATGAAATGAACATAGTTACTTCTCTACTCTAATCATCAATTAACCTGTAGTGTGCTGGAGGTAAGCTGGACAACAATTCTTCCATAAAATCGTGTGAAACGTCATCAGCAGTGTTTTGAAAGTTTATCTGAAACAACAAGATGTTTGTTGATCTTCTACTTTGCTTTCATACCCATGCAGATTTGCAGAATTGTGCAGTAAAAAGTGGCGTTGGAAGTTCGCGGAAATACTGTTTCAGAAGAGAGGAAATGGAATAAATATCTTTTTCTCCAATCTCTTCAAGATCAGGGGTTTCACCATTATCAAATTTGCTTCTAGATTAACAATATAAGAATAACAAGAATAAAGAATATATGAAATAGACACCTCAATCGCTTAATGTTCGATTGCACTCCACATTGTCTATAAATTCCCGTGACAAGACCCGATTTTTCGATTATTTTAGAACATTGTTCAACAACAAGTGGATCTTAATCGAATATATAAAATGAATGCCGTTTACAATTAATATTATACATTGCCTTGATGTTTTAGTCAGATGCTCAGTTAGATCAGTTCCGAAGACAGGAGATCTTTTTCTAAGTTTGAGTTCATGAAATATGATATTAACAATTGATCTGGCATGAAATCGTCTGACTGTAGGCTTTTCTGTCTAAAGTACAAATTCAAATGTGTTTTTGGCGGGAAAATGTGATCAAAGACCTTTATGTCTACAAACACTTTCTCCAGCTGTTTTTTCTCTATGAGGCAAACGCAATCACTTGGAAAGTAGCCAACCTAACCAAAATTCATATCAAATGCTTATTTTGTTAGTGAAACCTCTAAATTGAGAGTCTTTGCCTCCTTCCGGCCATAAGACGGAACTGTTATCTTTCCTTTCCATAAAACCTCATTATCTTGTTGTGAATCATTCATCTCACAAATGGATATGATATCTCCTAGCTTAATAGATTGAATCGATTGTTGATGATGTTAGTAATTACCTTTAATGACATATGATTCCGCTTTTCTGTTATATAGGGCTTTGTTACAACAGCTGCAGCAATTGCTGGACTATTGATAGCTTTATGATCGATTGATTTGAAATGATTTCCTCGAAAATCCATCTGAGATATATAAGTATTATAGTTGTTATGGTAAGATATTCACTTCTAAGAATTCGAGAAATGAGTTACACGTAATGGTTTCTGTTTCTAAAAGTTGTGACAGCCGAGCAGCATAATCAGATACTTGTAGCTAAACAAGATGTTACAACAAATGTTAATTAAGATGATAACAACCTCTAGCTGTGATAAGGGTGTTCCAGTATTATAAATGATTTCTTTCAAGTTAGAGAATCGTCTATCGAATGCACATTTATGAATAACAGTATCGAATGCTGCGAATTCTTGTAAATCTCTCGTTGCTGTCCTAAAATTATCAAAGAATGATTTCATTTCTCTAGCATTACATACCATATAACATCATTACTGCATATAGTTAATAACATTGTTATAACATGATTAGAATTCTTATGAACGTTTATATGAATACTAACATGTTTTAATTCACTATATGGATAATGATGATGTGATTCTAACAATCTTTTAACACTGAAATATACCGTATATTCGCTCAATACTTGCTACAATAAACTTACCGGCTGTAAGGTACATCATTCTCATCTGAGTTATCAATTTCTATCAAATTCATAATATAATTATTATTTGTTTATAATTTTCTTCGACTACGAGACAGTATATAACTGAAATGAATATCTTTAATTATTTTGAAATATGGTTAATTGAAGCGACGACAGCATAAAACAATCTTTTATATGATTCGGAATTAGAGATATGGATGTTTCAATGATTTTCAAGATGAAATGCAGTTAGTATTTGAGAAATGTTTAAATTTCTTAAAAGCTTTTTGTAGGAATGAAACATCAAGATTGATTGTCAAGCTATCAGAAACAACATGGAAGGATCGATTTATCTGTGGTTTCATCGATTGATTACACAAGTTAAAAGGTTTTTATATTTATAAATATTCAAAAAAACATAGCTTAGAAAGCATTAAATGATATCAATAAGAGCTTTATAGTAACATAAGACGTTAACATCATACTTTTGCAACTTTTTTTTTGTTGAAAAATAATATACGTAGAGTAGAATGCGTAGGCTTACATCCATTTGCTCAGTTATATGGTGGACTGATAACTCTGAAAAGTGTAATCCAGATAGAGCAACAGCTGACCCTTTATAAAAATACGACAAACGTCTTGACATGCATGCCCATTGTGATGTATGGTGTTTAAAAATCAAATTCCATCCCCCCTTAATACTTTTTTCCCAAAAAACATAGAGTTATAAAAAATACTGTGCAAGAGACTAGAGAGGGGAGAAAGCACTGTATAGCTCTGATTTTCAAGCGACATCAGGAGCATTGAGTTTGTTTGCTTATTGTTTTGTTTACAAGACGAATGTTGAATGTCAAGCATCTGCTTATACGATGACATTTTAGTTAAAAATAAAGTTAATTTCGATAAATTCTCACTGCGCTCTTCTGCTTCTGCTCTTTCTATTGGATGCACCAGCTGTTTGTGTTACACAGAAGATTTTTAGACGCATACACGAATTGTCTGAATGTGTCAGCTGCTTCATATCTTTTTTAACTCATGCCAAGCATACTTGAAAAATGCCAATGCATTCAAACATTTCAGTCTTGAAGACAACTCAAAAAACCTATTTACACTCAGAATAGTTACATTGTATGTAGACACATCTTGCTATACACTTTTTCGTTTCATTTTCTTTCACTTGTTTTGTTTTTTTCATATTTCATAATGTAATGTCAATTCCAGTTATCGAAGAAAGCAAACATGTCGTATCAAACCATTGAGAGAGTAATATCATGTTTGGTCTCAAATCATTGCTCAACTCTTTTCTTTAGGAAAAAGTATGTGTTGGAGGTGTCGATTTAGTGAATCGTCATCAGTTATCCAATTATCAGGATAAGGAGCTTCAACGCTTTATTGATGCCAATAATCATTTGATTCATTGGGTTGATGAAGAGAAGATAAGTAGGAAGGATAGCCGTCATATGATTATATGTCATATTTATTAAGAAAATCATAAATTAAAAAAAGACAATTCACCTTCTAACTATGCCAATAAGAGCAGAGCTATGTCATCTGAACCAAGTCTTCGCGATCGGTATAATTCAACTGAAAATCTTGCAAAAGTAACTATTATGAACTGATTTTTTGAATTAAATGTATTCTATTCACTTAAGCACATGAAGAACTCCTATGGAGGAGAGGATGACAGTCATCTTCTCAAACACCCTAAACCGCCAAGTGTCGATCGTTAGCGCAAAAGATTGTTATATATAGACATAGTTCTTCTCATTCAGATGCAAACTACACATCCGAATTCCCAGGAATTGAGAATATCACAGATAACACCTATTTGAGTGATTTTCTGAACAAAATGAAGAGCAATGAGAGCTTGAATAAGAGTATCTTTGCATAAGAGTATTTCAAATTGATTCATTTTTCTCAGATTCCCGCGCAAACTCAATTCTCAGTAATAATGCATCAAATTACTACCCAACCTATTCGGATAGTGGCTATGGTAAGATAGGATACTCTTTCAAACCAGAACCTTACAACAACAATGCGAATGAACGTTCTTGTTCTGTTCCTTATAACTCCAACAAAGAACGACCTGAGTCAGCAGCTGGTGCTCAATCGGAGTATGGTTACATAGATCGTAACAAAAACTATTATAACAGCCCTGGCAGTACATTGAAAAGGTATGTCTCAATCTTTTTTTTCTTTCATTTCAACTAACCAAACATTGATACTAGAAAAGGGGTGAGCTGGCTCGATCAAGAACGTGCAAGGTCTCTTTCGCCAGATTCTCATCAGCTGAACATGGTGAGTAGGTTCACATTCTGAACTTTCAATTTTCCCCACATCTTTCACTTCTCATCAATTGATATTTTATGTTTTTTGTTTGTTTTTTTCTTTTTTTTTTGGAAAGAAAAAACATGGTGTTGAAACAAACTGAGCCATAATATACCTGGATGTCTAGAAAGCTGCACTTTACAACGTTCACCTCCTCCTCATTTCTTCTCCGATGAATGATGTGAAACGATATCTATTCTGTGAGCTTAAGGATGAAGAGATGAGGAGAAAAATAGAAAAGTTAAGAGAGAATGTCTTATCTATTGGACCATCTGTTACATAGCTATAACACGAAATATTGTTGATTAGAAAGAGTGCAGACAAAAAACAATAAAAAGAGAAAGTAAGATAGAGAGCTATAGAACAACGCCTTCGAAATATTTTTCTGGTGTAAAATACATCGGGAAGGGTGGGTAGAAATACAACGACAGAAGGACGTGCTCTAAAGTGAAGCATTGTTTTCCTGCCTTTTTTCTTTTCATTTCATTTATTTCTCTTCTAGCATAGCGTTCACATGAACATATGATGCTCTTCATTTCCTATTAATATTATATATCATATCATATCAATTTAACTATATACGATATCATCTTGTTTTATATTTCATCTTGTCATTTAATACTTCATGTTTGTATTCAATTTTTTTTTTATTTTTGAAGCCAGCCATGTCCCAATACGGAAGCATTGGAAATCTCAATTTCCGCGATAATGCTGGAAGTCCTGCTTATTCCAGTCTCGGCAAACATAAGGTGAGAATGATATCATTTGATTCTTGACACACATTCTGTAATTTCTTTTCCTTCAAAATTTATTTTTTCCGGCTCAAAAGTACCACGAACGATTTGAAAGTTGTAGTCATCTTTGTTATTCCTTTTTACATTACTTTATTGTATTTAACAATCTTCCTTTAAATAATTATAAAAGCCAGATGTTAGTGCCGTAGGCGTTTGCTAGCAACAGCTGCTATCATTTGTTGTAAAGCAATGTCTATTGCTTTCTTTCGATCCTCCCCCGCACGATTCGATCGTAAACTTTCTTAGGGATATAAGTTGTTCTCAAAAGTATAAAAAGAAATATAGTAAGAAGATATGAGAGATTTGTTTATAAGGAAAAAAATCTGACTATGAATTCTCTTTCATTATAGGACAATTACAACCGATTTGAAACTCAACAACATAGTAGAGCTCATGCAAGAGCTAGATCTCCTTTTGAGGAAAGCCGTTTTGGTGGCTTTGGAGATCGTCCAGGAAGTGGAGTTGAGCTTACCAGCCATCAATGGAATGGAGGAGAAGTAATATCATCATTGTTTCATGATCACAAAGGAAATTGTAGATTATCTCTGACCCTACTGCTGTTCCAAAAGGATTGAAGCCACGAAGAATGTATTATTCCCCTATTGGTGACGGAACAGTTGCTGCTGACGGATATGAACTGAAAAGGTACTAACTAAAAAAGTATCTGCTTCATATAACAACGTCAACAGACGTCCGATGGATTTGTCCCCCAAAGTAACTATTACGCAGCTTCAACATATGGATCGTGGAGAGAAAGGTCACGGTGGAGTTAACGTTTACGAGAAGAGCTGGAGCAACTCAGTTGGAGGAGGTATGGTATTGAAAAAAAAAAGTACTATACAGATGAATAGATGGTCGCCAGTCTGCCTTTGGCAGTGAATATGGACCAGGAAGTGGTAGAAGCTCTCGTGCAGGTGCTCTGAGTCCAGCAGACAAGAATCCATATTATCCTAACTACGGAAAGCCTGGTGCTGGAAATAATGGAGATAACCATCATCCAAATGATAATCATGGGCTTTCTGGATTCCCGGATCTCAGCGATGTTCTTGGAAAAGGAGGACCCAAGAATAACAATTTGGGAAATAACAATAACCCATATGGGAATGCGGGAACTGGCAACAATTTTGGAGATGATTTCCCTAAAGGTGGATTAGGTGGATTGGAAGACAGATATCCAAGTATCACCATGACAAAATTTTGATTGCAACTCAACATTTTTGCAGGAGGTCTTTCTTCATCCCCTGGTATTCATGATGTTAATTATAAATTGGATACTAAGACTGGATATCTTATTACTAACCCACGTGAACTCATTCATCAAGTGAGTTTTTTCAAGTTTTCAAGTCAAGTTAAGAAAAATATTTTAAATATTTGAATAACTATGATTGTCATACAAATTTTATAACAAATCACTAATAATATCATATTTAGTATGCCACGACGACTCCGGTAGCTGTCATGAATGCTAACGATAACACTCCATCATCGACTACTGTAACAAAACAAAGTTTGTATCGTAAACATGAAGAAACGACAGAGTATGTGAAAATGGATGTAAAAGATAGTTGTCATTTGATTCTAGAGAACACTTTGCGCCATATGCTCCTTATAAGAGCAATTCTGCTATTGCTACTCCAAATAATTTTGTCAAACAACTACGAAATGAAAGTAAGTTGGATAAAACTGTAAATTGATCGAACATGGACGTTTAAGCTCTTACTCAAAGACAAAGAGAGGCTAATCAACAACTGGATCCTCTTAATCATAAGGACCCTCATTCGCAAGAACGTATTCAAGAAATTTCAAGAACTTTAAACCACACCTCATACGGCGATAGCTTTGGTAAATCTAACTTGTACTAAATACGACCAGAATTACTGCTGTCCAATCCGTCTTTTGTTCTGCTCGAGCCTACTGACTCGAGAGATATATAGTAAATAAACACCTCCTGCTTACGTAGCTTTTTTTTATTCACAAACAATTACATTACTGCTGTCGTATGTATATCATGAAGCCCATTTTTTTTCTTTCTCAAAGTTCCAAATGGAAAGAAAAAAGGATTTTAATCCTTGAAAAGAAATGACATTGATAAATGTTATCGCAACTTGACTCTGCTTTTCTAATTCGAATAGAAGAAATAATAGTTTGATGACAGTGCTCTATTCAACAATATTATATCGAAAAGCAATATCTCTCTCAAGTAGAGTTATCCAAGTACATTGGAGCGTATAGCGTGTTACCCTCTCTCTCTCTCTGTCTCTTCACATGTACGTATATATTCATGTGCTCCACATAAGCAATACGTATACATTTCATTTTATATTTTTTGTTCTCAAAAAAACATTTCTTCGCATGTTTTCTAAAAATAAAATTAATTATTTAAAACGATGATGAAATGGGGGGAAAGTTGTGTTCATCAATCATCTAGCAAAAACAATATAATCCTTATAAAGTATTTTGTCTCCTTTAAAACAAAAACTCCAACAAAGCAATCCTTCAATCCATTTGAGAGATGAGACTACATATACGTTGTAGTTTGACTCAAATCAATAACGTGACCTCTCATGGCATGTTTATCATTTCTTTTTTTTTTCATTCACACAACCTGTTTACATCGCCTGATAGCCTACTCTTTCTCAATTTTTCTCTCTCAATATAATTTTTTTATTTTAATTATTATTACTCATCTTCTATATTCTCTTTTCTTTATATTTTAAAATGAAAACACATTTGATGAGATGATGTTGACTTACCATGAGAGGAGAAGGGAGGGAAATTGGCAATATTCAAAGCAAATGAGACATTTTGAATTAAAATGATGAATAAGCTTTTGATTGTAAGGACATATAGTTTATTAAGCAGACAGATGCAATCCATCATAGCATTTTGTATAATTTTTGAATGAAAAAAAATAATTTAAATTCTGGTTTGTCTGTGTAACGTGCATGTTAAAAGTAGTTATAATCAATAGAAAAGATTGTTTTTGAGATATATTTTTGAAAAGATTATGCAAATTAAAACATTTATTTCCAATGAATTGTTATTTAAATGAGACTTGGGCTATTGCATGTGACTTTGAATGACTTTCAGAGTAGAATATGATATGCTCTATGTATAATATGTATGAGTATGTTTATATGTGAATCGATTAACTCATTATTTTCTTTTCTCCTTCTGTTTTCACTTTCTTCTTATTTATTTATTCGACTTTCATAACGTGATAGCTGGCACAGTAAGAGTGAATAGAGAAAGAGAGAGAGAAAAAAGTTTTTTTGTTTATTAACCGCTGTTTTTGGAATAGAAAACGATGGGGTGGTAGGGGATGGATAATAGCGCATTCGTTCTTTCTCGTACCATTCAGTTGCAAACGAAAAGAGCTAGGCCTGAAAAATAAAGAGAGTTTTGTGTTTAGATAAGGGAAGAAGGAAAATAGAAAAATTTTATTTGAAAGAGAAAGAGGAGAGAGAAAGAAAGATAATATGAGAGAGTTGAAATAGAAAAGTGAATGAAAGAGGCAAAATAGAAGGAATACGAAATATATAGAAAAAAAAAGAGTAACAAAATGTATAAGAGAGAGAGACAGAGATGAGAGAAGAGAGAGAGAAAGAGACTGAAGAAGACGACAGAGGGGTAGAAGAAAGAGGGAAGTAAGAATGGAACAGAGAACAACGCCTTCCATCTGTGTCTCTTCTGTTATTCCCTGCGTCTTTCATGCTTGACGATCTGTAAGGCACTCTCTCTTTCGTTTTTGAAAATCGATTTTTTCTTTTTTTTTTCAACAAAGTTCAACATAGCTTTGAGTTTTGCATAAAGAGAATCACAGTCATCCCCCTATCTCTTTGTCATTTCATTCTTGTTCCCGACTTTCTATGGGTGCTTTCATTGTTGGTTTTTTCAGTCAGCTGGCAATATTCACATGAATGTATAGTTATATTGATAAAATGATTTGATTATGATCATACTATAACATATACACACCATAAGTATATCATTGTAAGCTTTCTCTGCTTGTTGCCATACCCCATGCGTTGCCTTGTCATTTTCTGCTCTATTCTCTGTTTTTTTTTTGATTTCCTTCATTTTAGATGGCAACATTGAAATTTTCTTGCACTAAAGGGCTCTTTGAACGGTTTAAATTAGTTGCGAAAAAAAAAGAATGTTGAGATGGGATGGAGGGGCACGCCAACACTACCGTATACCCTCTTTGTGGTAGCCATAAGATGTTTGATATTGAATATACTTAAATGTGGCAAATACCATTAAGAGACAGCGTCATCTGTTACATTAACGATTAATGAAGCTGGATGAGACCGTCTGCTTCTATTGAATATCATTAATCATTCGCATGTTTTTGCATCTGTTCACGGCTCTTTAATAAGACTAAGACGCTTTTAGCTCAGCTATATTTAACAATTTTTTAGATTAAAATACAAGTAGAGCCATATTGAAGTATACACAAATGCTTGAGAATTATTTGAGTATGTAGTATGGTCAATAATTGAATTAACTAATTTTCTCATAAAATTTTTATTTTTTGCATTTTTATCCATTTTTGTGTTTCATTCAAGTTATTATGATAGTCTGTATATGCGAAAAATGCAGGATATGTGACCCTTCTTCCTATCTCCCTCTTCTCTCTTATTTGCTTTTCCATTGTATGTTTGCATTGAATTTCTTAAAGTTTTTTTTGTTTCATTGACAATCGGTATAATATGGTTGTTTGAAACAAGATTCGTCTCATCCTTTTTGCATATTAGTGTTGTAACGACATGACCGCACAAAAAAAATGATTTTTATAACTGCTTCTGCCGTCAATTGGCCAGATGTGCAACAGCATCTGTTGCTACACATTCTGATTGAAACCACGAACCTCATTCTCTTCATTTCGTTAATTCTATAACCGAGTTTGTCTTTTTTCTTTTGTTCTTCAACGAATATGACCTTTGATCCTGTTATCCTCTTATTTTGTCTTTATCGTATTTCGCTTGCTCCCGCCGAAAGTCTTTTTGAGCACTGACCTCTCTCTCTCTCTTCTTCTCTTTGTTTCTTTGCTCTCTCATCTGTATTTATACTCTTTCCCCAACTTTCGCTAGAATTCCGATAGTGTCATTGACCTCTCTGTCAGTCACTCTGTATTTCTAAGTTAGCTCTCTCTCTCTCTCTAGCTCATAGTTTGTCAATTTTTATTTTATATTCACTAACTGATCTCTCGCTTCTAGTTCTTCTTTCTCTATTTCCCTCACCCTCGTGCAGTGATTATTGTATGGTCACTAACATTTTTCATCTATGTACCTATTATGTTTGCTAAGTCCGTTCTTTTCCTCTTTCTCTTACCCTCTGTGAAAAATTCTCTAACTGCATGCCCTGCTACCATATGTTACTCCAGGTCATCAAAATTTTGCTGTTGTTGCCTTCTAATTTGTCGAAAAAAGTAATTTTTCCCAGCTGAATTTAATAGTATTACGTATATTGATATTATATTACCATTTATGTATTATACAAATAATACTTGAGATATATTGAATCCAGGTCGTTCTTCTATATTTACTTAGTCATCCTATGTATATCTATTAACATTTCGTCTGACCTATTACTTTACAGGTTTCTCATACAAAAGCCGTCAACGTTTTTTGTTCCAATTTTCGCTCTCTTCATTTTTGTTGTCTCTCAACCTCTCTCTCTAACTTTCTCTCTCTATCTCTGTCTTTCTTTCTCTCTTTTTCACTCTCTCTCTCTTCCGCTCTGTCTTCATTGCCAACTGCAGCAAGTCAAAGGAATTGGATTGTCAACCTTATTCCGATTTTTGTCAACCTGCCACATCAATAAATTCTGTATTCGAAGTCGAACAATGGTTAACATGTGCGGACAATTGAATAGAATCAGTAAGCTTTTTCCTTTTTTTCTTTTTTTCTAACGCTTATATGAAGTTCTCTCTATCAACTACATGGGCCGTCTGGTCATGAAAATTCTTTTTCTGGAAAGTTTTTGAAATTGATGGCTTTTTTGCGATTTTTCTTCGTTTTTCTGTATTTCTGCATCCTTACATCTCTTCCCCCTCACCATTACATAGAAACTGGTTTTGCATCCCGTAAGTCAACCGTAAATTCGACTGGAGCGTTAATAACAATATAAATCGGTTGAAATCGCAAAACATAAATTGTGAAATGTTCAATCGGTTATTTGAAATAGTAAGAACTTTATTTGCTTGATATTGATGATGATGAGAAAGTATAGTCTTGTTTATACTCATTAAAGTAATTCGATTGAGTTTGTTGTACTTAGGAATATCTCACATCTCTCTCTCTCTCTCTCTCTCTCTCTCTCTCTCTTTATATGCAACACTTTCATGTTTTCTTTAAAGGATAATCTTCAATATAGTAATTAGTGGTTAAAGAAAGAAAGAAAGTTTTCTCTCTCCTACTGTCCCATTGTCTCTTTCAACATTGACCATACAACAGTTGCTTTCTGACAGTAGTTAATGTGGGTCATAAAATGTCTTTCTTAGCATACACACACGTATTTCTGTTCTCAAACCACGATTTTGATCGAATTTTTTTGTTTCATTCTTCATTGAATTGAAAAACAACTAAAATTGACAAGATTGTTTTGTTTTCTGGATTATTGAATGAATGGTCGGAGAAACATGATGATGACAGACAGAGTGAGAGGGAGACAGACATACTGAGAGAGAGAATTAAGTTAGCATTAAGATATTGTCATCTTTTATTTATTAATTATCAAATTATATTCATTAGTAAGAAGAGCACGTTCATAGAGATGACATAATATGATTCTTTCATTCTCTGAAATGAATAGCTTGCTGGAAAAATCAAGATTATCACAGACTGATGATGCATTGGTGCTTAGAGAATCTTTTCACATTCTGTGTGTTTCACATGCGCAGAATACTATGAAAGGCTGTTCTAATAACGTCATCTAAGTGATGTGAGTGAGAGAGAGACAAATACGAATGAAATCAAAAAAAAAAAGAAGGAAAAGCGCTGATTGATCTCTGAAACAGAAATTTGTCGAGTATTATTCGTCCTTTCTCTCTCTCTCTCCCTCTCCATCTTAACTGACTCGAATATCTTGTTTTTCATCTTCGTCGTTCTTCTCTCCCACCTTTCCCAAAAACCTTATCTCCTTCACTCACTCGTTTATTTTCTTTCAATCTCTCTCACTTTCTCTCTCTCTATCTATTTCCATTTCACTTTCTCTCTTTGTGTTTCTTTCACTCTCTTGACAAGTCTTTTTCACTACACTTCACTCGTGTTCTTTCGTTATTGTCTCCGCATTACACTCACTTAAGCTAATCGAGAGTTGTTGGGGGGAGGGGTGAAAACAACAGTTTCTAACATTTTACTCTTTTCTTCTACTTTTTAACGAAAAAACGATAAGTGACAGAGCTTTTCCAAATTATTTCGTAACATTACTCGCATAACGTCTATTATCGTCTAGTTTTAATGCAGATTTCTAGCTGTAAGATAAGAACGCGTCTGTTTGATTCCACAAGGTCATGCTTAGCCACTTTGATATGGTAGAACGTTGTGACTAGCGCCTGCTGCACTTATCTGTTCCTCTCAATTTGTCAGCAGCTGTTACAGTTAATCTTATTACATTTTACTACCATATTCGTCTACAACTTTTTTCGATTTCAAAGAAATTCATCGATGTTTATGAGATTGCTTGAAATTGGCCTATATTCTTTCTGTTGAATTGTCTCTTTTGCCTGCGTCACTCAAATTCATTTTCTGGAATATATTTCTTTCGTTTTAGTTTTTTAACGAAAAATCATAATAATTTATATTATTTCATACTTAAAATGTTATCATTATTGTTTTTTCAGGAAATTACCAATGCATCAATCCACAGCTTTAGAAAAACCGACAGCTGCATCTACACACACATCAATAGCTCAGTCAGCTTCTGTTCCATTGCCTACAATGGCAATGATAAATGATGCTATTTCATCACCACCAGCAGAGTTGAGCAGAGCTTCAACCTCAACAAATGCTATTGGAATGGGTCTAGTGCCGCAAAACGATATATCTGTTCCACATTTCACAACAGCTTCATCATTATTGCAGCAGCATAATTCTCCGTTGAACAAACGAAACTTTAATATAGTAAAAGAAATATCTAAGGAAGACATTAATATGTCGAACAACTCTCAAGCGTGTAATATACTTCAATCAATACTGGATACTCCGATGATATTACATACGGCTGCGTTTGAAGGGTTCAATGATTCTTTTCAAAAAAGCGTTGTTAACCAGCAAGTTCTCAAACAAGCCACACTGGAAACTTTTAACGATGAAACATCTGTTGTACATAAAGATCTGTTAGCAAGGAATTATATGCTCTCTTGCATGTATTCTCAAACTCCACACATGCTTATGACTAATATTGATCAAGGAAAGGCTCATGATAACATTAATCCTCTGAATTTGATTCAGGTAAAAGTCATTGAATGTATACTTAAATTCAAATTACATCGTTTCAGTCCACATTATTCAATAAGCCTTCTACATCCGAGTTCGAACCATCATACGGGTCTCAGGAGGAAGTAGCTAATGTAAGTCTTTATATGATGTGCTGGCCATCATCAGAACGTTTCCAGATACCCTCTGTAAAATTAGAGAATAGTTCAACAATATCGAGATCTATATCTCCAGTTAGTTCACTCTCAGTTTCTCCTGAGAATACTTTCAATTCCACTGCACTGGAACAGGCTACGAGAGAAAAAGAGAAAACTTCCGCTAAGGACACTGAAACGGAAGTTGCTGAAGCGGAAAACAACACACCAACGACTGAGAGCAAGAAAAAGTAAGAAGAAAACGTTAAGAACCTTTTAAGAACTATCTCACTCTTTAGCGCTTTTGCTGGAGAGGAGGAGCAGGATCAAGATTTAGATAGTATTCTCGGTTTTGTGTCTGAGAAAAATGTGGCGAAGTCAACAAACTCCATTTTCGATTTCCCAGGAATGGATAATGGTAATGATATGCAGGTAACCGAAGAAAATAGGATTAGCAGACAAAAAATGGTTTAGTTCACACCTCCTGACTCTCCGGAAGCATCAATACCATCGGTAGAAAATGAAGTATCTCAACCTAAGGGTGATGCTTCTGAAAAAAGCGTTAGCTCTTTACCAACACCTGCTGTTCCTGAACCAGTAGCCTCCACGATATTCCCATCATCGGTTCCAAACATACTCCCTTTCAACGCATTAACTCCTCAAATGATTGAAGCTTTGAGAATAAGTAAGTAGAATATGTCTTAATTAGTATAGTTATATCATTTGTAAGGTCAATTACATGCGGCAAACTTGGCAAAAGGATTCAATAATATACCATCGATAATGCTACACGAACAGCTTTTTCATCATGAGCAAATGTTGATATCGGCTGCAGCCGCTTTAGCTGCAGCAGAAGCTGTATCAGCAGTGCCTTCGGTATTATCGAACACCTCGGTTGCGTTGAATAATAAACAAGAAACTAAGTCTATCAAAGAAGAAGTTATCGACTCACCTCCTACTGATGTGAAAACTTGCATTTCACCGATGCCAAAACTGGATGTTAAAGAGATAGATGAGTTGGACGATCCGATCAACATAGTGTATGGGCATGATCCTGATTCGCCGCCTCCAGAAAAAGATTTGATTACTTTGAGACCCATCTCAAAAAGCACTAAAGTACCAATTTATAAACAGAACAAAACTTCGGCACCAACAACGCCATTAGCTGTGACTGTTGATGCATTTGAACAAATCGAAAATGAGGAGAAAGGTATTTGATATAGTTTAGCCGTAAGTGAACCAGTATAGTTGAAGAGCTGGAAGACAACGAGGATGAATACAAGTTTGAAGAAGATGATGAAGAAATTGGTTTTCAAGAAATGAAAGAAAAAATCCAGCATGAAGAAGTGCCAAAAATCGCTCGAGCAGTTGGAGCTGCAACAGATCCGAATGCACCCAACTGCTATATTCCGGGTGTTGGGTTTGCCGCTTCATCAGAAAAACCGGTAATGAAATTAGAAATTTATATTCAATAATATAACTGATTAGGAAAATTGGCGAGCAAATAAGAAAAAAGGTCTTGATGGTGCAAAGTGTACTCTCGGTGACACTTCGCATGATGACACTGAATCAGAAAGTATAGAATGAAAGTTTTAAATTAATTATAAAGAAAATAATTTCAAGCTTCATCAATACATTCGGAGATGATAACAATCGCGGAGACTATCAGAAGACGAAAACAAGAGAGATTCTTGTCTTCGTTCATTCATGCTGAATCGTTAAGTGATACAGACTGTGCGAAGGATGTCAAGATCGAACTCAAAGACGATTCGTAAGTAGAATATATCTTTTCATTTCACTTATTGGCTGATGTTGTAGAACCATTTCGAACAACTTGAAAGTTCCCAAGCTTATCATTCGTTTACCTAAAAAGGTTCTCACTGAATGCAATCAAGAGAGAAAAAAAAAAAAAAAGAAGAGAAAACGTCATTATGATGAGGATAGTGATTGGGAGGAGAAAAACAATCTGGGCCATCGGATTGGTCGTCATTCATCTCGAAAAAGTTCATCAGTTGATTTGATGAAAAGAAAAAAAGATAATACTCAAGACGATCAAGAATGCCATCTAAACAGCAAGAAGAAACGTCTTACAAGACATATGATGAATGATGATCCAGAAAACAGCCAGTTCTTAGGTAAGGAAAGATTTCAGTTTCCATTTGTTGAAATGAAACATATTGCAGATGATAACATGTTGAGCTTGGAAACAATTCGGGAGATGAATGAAAATTTTTTCAATCAATCGAAGCAGAAGTTAAACAAATTTGGTTCAGCCTGTGGAGTCTTACCTGTATGCTTACTTTCTCTCTCTGTTACTATATTTTCTGTGTTTTTTCAGAAAGGCACATTTGTGGTGAACAAAACTGATTTATCAAGAGATGATTGTGCTCTTTGGAAGGTTGATAATCAAAATTTGTTACAAAAATTTCCGCCAAGGATAGATCCAGTGACACAAAATGTTCATTACAAAAACAGTAGTACGGTATGTTTTGTAACTTTATCACTCCTAGAAATCGCTCTATTATAGTATTCGGGATGGTGTGAGCAAATTTCTATTGGATATTACCGAGTGTCTGTTCGAATCTTGAAGCAATCGAGAAGTGAAGCAATAATAGAGCCGGAAGTACCACTTGCTGAGCTGTTTCCTGCTTTATCAAATGAAATGACGGACACGAATGTGACTATTGAAGGTACTTGTAGATTACTCATAGTATACTATTGAATTTTTCTTTCAAGACTCTGATCCATATGACGATGAACCCGTTGTCTCTCAACAAGGATTAGCAGAATCTCTATGCACATTCACTCTTGCCATGCTTGAACAAGCCTTCACAATGGAGTATTTCCAATCAGCCAAAATTAAAAATGGTATGTATCGCTTTTCTGAACATTTGTCCTATATTTACATTTTCAAGACTGGGGTTTCTTAAGAGCCAAAAACGAAGTTGAAGAAATGAATATGACATGTTTAAAAAAGCTCA